ACTTAAAGAACTGAGCTAAGGGGCAGGCCTCCGTCCTTAAGTTTTTAAAAAATACTTATTTATTTGGTACAGAGTCTTGTTTCGCAGTTCAGACTTGTAGTGATCCACCTGTCTCAGCCGGAAACGTTACAGGCATGTGTCACCATGCCTGGTTTTGGTGACCAGCATGGCATGTGGTACTGGGTGTCAAACCAGGGTCCTTGCACTTGTCAGGCAGGTGTTTACATCACTGAGCTATCTCCGCAGCTCAGTGTCACCTTTAAGTTCTTGTATTTTTTTTTTTGTTCTTGTATTTCTTTGTCCCTCTCCTTTTCTTTTCTAGTTCAGGAAATTAACGATGGTTGTTATATTACATATTGTTATCATCAAATTTATTGCTCAGACTTCTAGTTCAATAGTTTCTATATTCAAATAGTACATTGGGATCCTAGAAAATACTAGAATTTCTATTCATATTTTTTCATATTGCTATAAATATTTTGTTTGCACATATTTTGTAATAAAATAATGTATTAGAAGACTGTTTAAATAAGTTTGTCACTCTGGATGAAATACTTTTTATTTTTTACTGATAAGATACTTGAATTAAAACATTTTAAAGGGGCTGGGGAGATGGCTTAGTGGAATAAGTGCTTCCCTGGCAAGCACAAGGGCCTGAGTTCAATCTCCAGTTCTGGAAAAAAGATAAAAAATAAAAATGAAAATTTGGAAATCATTACTCCAGACTACTAGGGCTAGTATACTAGTAGCAAGTAGGACAAAATAATTTGTACAGGTTTTAATAAGGCAGAGCAAAGATTTGTACTCAGGTTTGCCTTATTCCATAGGTCATATAATTATAATGTCCTACATTTCTTTAAAACAGATATTGATGGAGATGTATAACAGTTGAAATCCTTTGCCTCTCCTGTTAAAATTTAAAATTCTATAGTTGTTGTGGAAAGCAGTATAGCATTTCTTTAAAGACTAAGGTATAAAACTGACAGATGATCCAGCATCAACTCCTGGGTAAATAGCAAAAAGAATTGGAAGTAGGGACTAGAACAGGTGTTTGTATACCCATGTTCATAATAGCATTATTTATAATAGCTGAAAGTAGAAATAGCCCTATATTCAAAAACAAGGATTTTTTTTTCTTTCTTTCTTTTCTTTTCTTTTTCTTTTTTCTGTTCTTTTTCTTTTTTTTTTTTTTTTGTGGAACCAGGGGTTGAACTCAGGCCCTTGTGCTTGCCAGGAAAGCACTATTCTACTGAGCCATCTCCCTGTCCCCTAAAAACATGAAATTTTTGATGCATGCTACAAAATCCTTGACATTACTTTGAGTGAAGTAAGCCATCTAAAAAAGTACAAATATTTTGTGACTACTCATACATGAGGTTGCTACAGGAGGTTAAAAATAATAAGTACAAGAATACAGGCATAGTATTCGTCATTGAGGAATACAGCAGAAATAATACTGCTGCTTGCAACCCACTAGAGTAGCAATAATAAAAAAGACAAACAGTACTAAGTGTTGACAAGGATGTGTAGAAATGAGGGCTTATATGCAGCTGGTTGGATTGTAAAGTGATGAAGGCATTTTGTAGCATTAAATACAAATTTATGGAGTGATTCAGCAGTTGTACTTCCAGGTATCTACACCAGAGAAATGAAAATGTATATTCATATAAAGGCTTCTTTATGTGAATGTTTCTAATAATTATATTCATAATAGCCAAAAAATTGGAAACAATTCAAAGGTTCTGGGAAATAGTTAAATGTAAGTAAGTGAGAGAGTACAGACATAAAAGACTATACCATCATATGATGTGAAGCTTATTTAGAAGAGGTAATCTCTAAAGTGAAAGCAAATTGGTTGGGATGTGTGAATGTAAGTTGCAGTTGACCACAAATAAGCATGAGGAAACTTATTGGAGGTAATAAAAATATTTTGTGTCTGATGATTGTACAAAGATACACAGTCATTACAAATTAAGAACAGGGCCGGGAGATAGCTTAGTGGAATAACTGCTTGCCTGGCAAGTGCAAGGTCTTGAGTTTGATCCCTGTTACTAGGAGGGGAAAAAAAAAAAGCGAAAGTTAGGAACAAAAAGCTTAATGAGAGATATTGGAAGGTATGCGTAAATATATCTGGGAAAATCCAGTAAAGAAACATCCAAAACACTGAGTGGCACACTAAGAAAGCTTTAGGAAGCAGATACCAGAGTGAAATAGAAAAGGTTTATTTAGGGAACTATAAGAGCCATGTCTTGTGGTAATGTCAAGTTTGGGACTGCAGAAGGTAAGTTTAGGATTGAGTTTACAGCAGAAGAACATGGCCTACTTGTAAAATGATAAATTCCAGTTGGTTGGTAACAGCCTAGCAGGAATATCGGGATTATTGTAGGCTTATTCTTGGTATGTTTCTGCATTCACAAAATTCAACACAACGTTAAAATTTTCAGAAGGATGAATATTTAAAACTATGAATGTTTTGTCACTCTTGAACAAAATCTTTCTGTTTTTGGGAGTTGAGTCCTGGTATTTATTTATTTATTTTATGTATTTTGTACCAAATACACTGCACAGCTTGGACTTATACTGATCTTCCTGTTTTCAGCCTCACTTGTGCTGAAATTAAAGGCGTGCTCCACCATGCCTGGTCTTGGTGGCCAGCTCAACGTGTCTGGGGGTGTAGCCAGCCCAGCCTGTGGTGCCAGAGATTTAATCCTGGTCCCTGTGCTTGCCTAAGCAGGCACTTAGTCTGCTGAGCTATCTCGCTGGCCCTTTTCTTCAGTTCCTAAATTGTAGTATCTGGAATGATGTTTGGCACATAATGTGTATTCTAGTAATTTGCTTCCAGAACTTTCAAAGAAGGGCTGGCAAATCATAAATCAACATGTTGGAGGGAATGTGTATGAAGGTAATCCAGTAGAAGGATATGAGGTGACATTTTATAAATTCTTTTTTTTAAAGTTTATTACAAAATGTTAAATACTAAAGCTAAAAACACATAATTTCTGGTTAGGTCAGGCTCTATTAAAAAACTCATATGCCCTTCTTTGCAAAATCCTTAAAGATTGAATTAAACAGATACTTTAAATAAAATACTCTAAATAAAACATTTGTGTCTAATTGTTTATAGCAGTGTAGTTTATTATTTTTTTTAATTTTTTATTTATTTATTTATTTATTTTTTTAGCAGTGTAGTTTAGTTTGTAAAATTATAACTGGAAAGTTTAGCCACTATGATAATCTATGCAATTCAGCTGCTTTTGATACTACCCAATGTGAAGCCACCATGCTGGTGAGGACTGGCTGAGCTTGTTATACTACTGAAAATTTAGGGTCCTATAACAGGAACAGAGTAGCCAGAAGTATACAAGGTGTTAAATAGCATGAAAACTTGGCCCAGAAAGAAAAGGCCTTCTTTTGAATATACAATATCCTAATTATTTATTATTTATTTTTATTTTTTGGTACTGAGAATTAAACTCAGGGCCTCATACTTACCACGCAGGCGCTGTGCCACTGAGCTCTATTCCCAGCCTTTATCTTCTCTAATTAAAAGTGATTGGGAAATATATTAAAGCAGAGATCAGCAAAAAGCATATATTCATCTAGAAATAATTGTTTATACTGGTTTTAAGAATTTTTTTAGTTAAACTCTTAAATGATTTAAATTTGGGTTGAAATATATAATTCCCTATCCAACTTTTGAATTCTGATCTCTACTTTTTATTGTTTTTTGTCCCAAAATTTTGGAGCAAGAAAAGGGCTTTAAAGTTTTTGTAGTCAAGTGTTCATTATTTTGTGACCTTAAATCGGATTAAAACCTTTAATCCCAAATTGCATAATGTATAAAACAAGAGAATATTAAACACTTCATTGTTATAAAGATGCAATGACATAATATTTATGAAGCTGCCTGGTATTTAATTCTTCAAGTTAATCCAGTAGGTAGCTAGAAATAGCAAATTGAATGAGTTATCCAAAACTTAACACAAATGCATGACTAAATTTAGGTGAGAATTTGACATCTTGCCTCCTAATCCAGTCATTTCCATAGTCACGGTTGGTACTTTTTTCCTTTCCAATGATTTCCCCTCTTTTTTTATTTGCAGTTTCCAAATCACATCCTTTAGTCATTTGATACATACCTATTAAGAATCGTTAATAGGGGTTGAGGGTATAGCTGAATGACAGAGTGCATGTGGAGGAGTGCATGCATACACACAGTTTCCAGGTACTCTGGTAGGTAAGGAAAATGAATGAATAAGAATGACCTCTTCTCAATGAATTTGATGTGTAGAAGTTAGAAGATAGACACCCCCAAAACATGAGGTGTTAAGTGTCACAGTGACAAATGTAGATAATCTTAAGAGGATTTAATAGCATATCTTGGAAAAGGGAGCTCTGGGGCCAAAGTCTTTATAGAATAGGCAAACACATGAGAGATAGATATTCATTGGTAGAATGAGTTACAGGATATGAGAATGACTGGAGTATTTTTGCTTTGATATTTTGGCATTAATGGAATATTCCATAAAGAGAATGAAGATCTAGTTTAGTTGAAGTGGAAGATGTAAAGTTAGTAGAGAAAGAGCATAGGGAAGGAAATAAGTGATAGGAAATACAAAGAGATCTGGGGATAAGAAAAGTCAGTAACATTCTTCCAATTCCTTATTAGAGATTCTAAATTACTTTTCTGCTCTTATGTGAAAGCCCTTTGAGACTATTGCCATCTGACTGCTATAGTTATCCTTTTGCTATTAGCTAAAGATTCTCCCAGATACAGTGTCATTGATTAATGTTGTCAGCCAGTGTACATTCATTCATTTTTGTTTAGTGCACGAGGTCAAAGCTCTTACCAGCATATCCTAGGAATAAGTTAACCTTAATATCAAGGAAATAGTCTATGAATATTGAAAATGATACTGGAAGTTGAAAAAATTATAGTTTGGTATATCGTGTATGCTTTTAGTGCTTTATATATTCATTGTCTTTGTGTGTATGTCTAGGTTAAATGTATCTTTAGAATACAGTATGAAGAGGTCTTGTATATTCAAAGACCGATTGAAGAAGACAGAAGAAAATTTTTCCAAGAACTCATTCTCAATCAGGCATCAATGGTGCCACCAAGAAGGAAACACACTGGTAAGTTCCTAAGATTATTGGGAAAATCATGGCAGTGGAATTGAGAAACAAGCTTCCCTAGAGTCAGTTTTTTTTTAACACTTTCTGTATGGAAATGAATACTGCTTGTCACATTCTGTTTATCTTTAGATGGAGACATGCAGAAGTGGCCATTGTATTCAGTAAAGCTTTATTTTTAAGTTTTCTTTATTAGCACACACATTTGCAGTGCATGATCCCCATATTCATCATCAGAGATTTATGTATGTGCTTAACACATCTTTTTGTCCCTTGCCCTCCCCCTCCTTCTAACCCTCACCCCCCAACTCCCCGCCATTAAAGCTTTATTAATTAGGCTTTTTCCTCATCTCTCCAGTTGTGATTCTGTAGTAAATTTTACATTCTGCTGGCTCAAAAAGCCAGAAGAAAAAAGATCTTCAGTTCTGGTCTCTTGTAGTCATTTCAATTACCTAGGACTAGAGCAGGCTGTGAATATCAGGTGTTACACAAATTACAATGTTAAATATGTTTCCCATTCCTGCTATGTTCGTTTGTTCTTTTCTGTCTTTCATATTCTCATTATAGGCTTCTGCCACTACTCCTGACCTCAAATCCTTTCTTTGCTATATAATTTTCTATGTTTTTATTGGTTACATTATTTAACCTTTTGATAATATTGGGCCTCAGTCCTTTCCAGATTTTCTCTGTGAAAACGATAGATCTGAATTTTTAAACTTTTGTTTTTGTTAAATTTCATTTCTCATTTTAGAGGCAGTTTAGAAATGAGTGAAAACAATGTTTAGCATTTTAATCTTGAACTTAGTATGATGCCTTTTTTTTGTGGTATCAGGGGCTGAAAATAAACTCAGGACCCTGCGCTTGCCAGGCAAGTGCTTATTCTACTGAGCTATCTCTCTGGGCCCCATGCCATTTAAATCGTGTAAGGAATAATAATATTATGATTTGGAGGGTTAACCTTTTAAGAAGATTTTTGATTTGACTCAGAGTCTGAAGTAGTATGGATATTATATGTAACACTTGTCACTTGAGATTTTTAAAGGTCTTTTCCATGACTTTAGTATTCTCTTTTTGGTTCTTTTTCTTTTCTTTTTTTCTTTTTTTTTAGCTTCCTTCTTGCAAGTGCTATTCACTATCCCCACTGTGTGATACTCAGATTATGAGGATAGAAGATTTATTTATTATCTAAAACCAAAATTCTGAGGCAGAGGGTGTTGTTGATCAGTTGTAGAAACTCAGTTGTAGAGGCTAACATAAACAAGGGCTTATGCTAAATTCCTAGCACGGGGGAGGAAAAATTGAAGGCTGGGCAGAAAGGGAGGAAGAGAAGGAATAGGGAGGCAGGGAAAAAGAAAGATGGATTTTAAGAATGTTAGTATGTAGTACCTTAAGGTATTTATTTTGACTGAAAATATTTTTCATGAAGTTATAAATATTGCCTCGAGCCAAATTATTTTAAATCGTCTTTTGTCCTATTATATTTTGTAATATGAAGCTATCCCGTAATATTTGATTTTTGTTTCCATTTGAGTTCTTATTTACTGGATTTGTGTGGTTCATTTATTTGTCAGTGCTGTAGAACACTAGAACATTTGAAAGAATGCCAAAATAGTAATTAAGGTCCTTGCTCACCTTGTTGGGAAGCTTAACATTGCCTTTTCTTTTCTTTAGCTCTTTGTGCTATGGAAGTGCTTCCTCTTGCATTACCTTCTCCACCTCGTCAGTTATCAGAATCAGAAAAAAATCGGATGGAAGACCAGGAGGAAAATACTTTAAGAGAGTTGCGATTGTTTCTCAGGGATGTAACCAAGAGGCTGGCCACAGATAAACGCTTTAACATCTTCAGCAAACCGGTGGATATTGAAGAGGTCTTGTTTCAGTAGTGTGCAAACAGTGAAGTTGAACTGGCTAAAAGAAAAAAAATATTGACATCTTTTTTTGGAAGGAAAAAAAGCAAAGGCATGGATGAATATTACCCCTAGCCTGTAAAATTTTAATCCATGTGATACCTACCTATGTCATCAGTAAACATCTGGTGACTTTTAGATGAAATTAGTGATCAATGTGTATATATCCTCTTAATTATCATTGATCTTTGTGATCTCATACTCTTCAATTTAGGAAGAGTTAATTCAAAGTTACTTAAGTAAAATGTCCATACTAGACTATTTTTATTCCAGGATAAATCCTGCTGTCAAAAAGTATATTGATAATGATCAATCAAAATATCAATTGATACTGGCATTTCCCAGATTACATATACCTCCTTGAAAGAGGAGGCCAAACTTTGGCCACTTGACACTTCTTAGTCTTTCATATTTGGAAATGTCTGTGGTTTAAGTTACTATTTGATGCTAGCCACATGTGATGCACCTAAAACTGTTTTTCTCTTTACAGATTTTCTCTCTGCTCCCAGTGGAAAATTTCTCACTTTCTATGTGTATTGTCTTGTGTGCTTGTGGGAGCATGGTTTGTGATGATGAGAAAAGGAATTTTCCATTTGGAATCTACTATAATACTATCAATTTAAATTTTGGTTTTTTCCCCTCTTGTTGGTGTTGTTTTATCCTGGGATAATATAGTATGTGGATGAACACAATGTCATCTTTACTGGCCTTCTTCTTATAGTTCAGACTCCATGTTTGAACAGCTTTGGTGTTTTTAGTTTTGATTTTTTAATTTTCTTTTAAATTTGAGTTATAAAATTATTCAGTACTTAATGTTGCGTCCTGATTGTGAAATCTGTGCTTTTGGACTTGAGCATATTCCTTTGGAACCATTATCTCATCCAAGACTGAGAAGAATGAATTAGCATTCTGTTTTTCCCCCTTCTGGCAAGTCTGAAAGTAATGTTTCCCCCTCTTTGGAATTAAAGAGTTTATCAAAAAGGTTATTTTAATATTTATGTGCAATGCATAGTTTTGCCCATTTGATCCTCTGAAAGCCTTGGAGTGTCTTTATTAGTCTCATCTGGCAACCGAGGAAATTGAGACTTGTTGGCAAGCAACAAGTCCAACACTTGAGAGGATTTTTTGTTTTGCTTTGTTTTTTTGAGGATGGGTCTCACTGTGCTGTCCTTGAACTTACTGTGCACCCAAGTCTGACTTCAAGCTCATGATTCTCCTGAGTGCTGGGATTGTAGGTATGCACCATCAAGCCTGAGGGAATTTTTCTATTTGTTTTTAAATTCAAAGCCCACATTCTTTACATCTCAGCTACTTGATATCTTTTCCCACTGGAATAATAGTACAAGGCTAATTTGCATTTTAAATTCATAAGCATCATTTTATTTATGGAGCATTTTTCTTTCATAGTAAAACTATTAGCCAATTTTGAAGATTGCTTTTCATAAATAAGCAAGTTCCTCCTCCATTTAGCCTATGGTACCTCTTAAAGGTAACTCAACCTCCTATGCTGGGAATAAACGAGTTTCCCTTTTGTTTAAGAAAGCCTTTTCTTTCCATCCAGAGAAGATTCTCAGCTTCAAATGTCATCTATCTATAATTACAGCTTTGTGTGGCTGGGGAGATAGCTCAGTAGTTTAGGCTCCTGCCTGGCAAGTGCTAGAACCCAAGTTCGATCCCTGGTATCTCATGCTGTGCTGACCCCGAAACCAGGTGTGGTATGTACTCCTGTGATCCCAGTGCTGGGGAGGCTGAGATAGGAGGATCATTATGAGTCTGAATTGTGTAGCAAGACCCTGTATCAAGTAAATTAATTAAAAAAAACTCCACTTTGTGAACAAGTCACAATATGGAAATAGAAGATGATAGGTTGATCAGACAACAGTTTTACTTAAAGGTTATGTTTCTCTTGTTTTTCCTTTGTTCTTTAGTTTATTCTGCTACTGATTTTTGTCTGCTCTGAAAGTTGAAAACATAGTAACTGGGAAAGTTGGAATGGAGAAAACAAGATAACACTTAGCTATACTGAAACTTGAAAGTTCATATTCAAATAGTGAATTTGAAGTACCTAAAAACTTACAAATTTCAAAGCAGACTGCAGGGCAAGTAAACTTTAGAAACTTAAATTTAAAATTATGCTTATGTGCTAAAATTGTTTAGTCTTTAATAATATTAAATTTTATAGTATTTTTCAGTTTGTGGAAGTTCTTACTTGTTTGTTCTGGGCATGCCAGAACAAAGCATTGGATTAATAAGTTTGAACTGTTATTCGTTCTAGTATACTAAATGGTTCCCCCTATAAAGAGACTCACTGGCTTTTGAGCTACAAAGACCAAAAATAAAGAAGTGTGCATATTCTTATTTCTGATATTTGTATAAATAATCCTAAAGTTTGAAAACTAAGCCACATGTAGTGGCACATGCCTCTAATCCTAGTACTTGGCATTGGGCAGGAGGACCACAAGTTCAAGACAAGGTAGTGAGTTTAATCAGCCTAAACTGCTTGTGAGCCAGGTGTGGTGGTGCACATCTATAATCCTAGTACTCAGAGGCTGAGGCAGGAGGGTTGCCATGAATTCAAGGCTATCCTGGGCTACATAGGGAGTCTAAAAAATAAACAAAAAACTTGGTAGTGAGAGACCCTGTTCTTAAAATCAAAAACAAAGAAAAAATCTACCTATATAAGTTAAATATATCCATATAAGTCATGTATACAAATTGCCTATGTAAATGTTGCTTGTGAATTTAAAAATCATAGCATTGATGACATTTGAAAATATAACATAAGAAATCTTTACTTTCAGAGAGCAGAAATTACTCAACCCCTAGTCATGATCCTAGATTAATCTGAGAAATTCTTGCTAAGCTGGCTTTTATGTCAAATCTAATTACTTATTTTGAGATTTGCATTTGGGAGGCAATAGATATAGGTTGCAAACGCTCTCTTATTTGGTCATATGGCAGAAAACAAAATTTATTTTGTACATCATAACTTAATGTCTCCTAGTTTGGATTATCTCCCAGAAAAATCAGCACATTAGGCAAAAAACACTCTTTTCTTTTTGGCAGATTTGTTTAATGTAAGGACAAGTCCTGCAAATCTTTCACTAGTTACAAAACAGTACTCAGCTTTATTATATAATTGACTCAAAATGTTTGTAATGACTCCAAAGGAGTGGAAAATACTTTCCATGAAATCATTCTTCTTATAAAAAGGAAATTTTTGTTGAAAAATTTTAAAAGATTTACCGAAACTTCTCTAGTATTATGAAAAGTCTATGCTTTTTATTTTTCCTTGTTTTGTTTTCCTGTTTCTTTTCTTGAGGTAACATTTAATAATACTTATTGGATGCTTTTATTCATGCATTCTCAGCTAAGCCAAGGATTAAAAAAAAAGCTGACAGTTGGTTTCCATTTTCAAGATGAGCAGCATTTCAGAGTTGGTTGTAGATATGACTTGGAAACTGAAGCTTTTCATGGAAAGTATGTCAGATAGTAACTTTAGTAGCATAAATAGCACTGTACTTTTATCTGTAATTCTTAAAAATCTAGATTTAATTTTTAAATAATTGTTTTAATTTTGCTTTTATGAATTAAATTTATATGAAAAACTGCAAGCAATTTCATTAACATTTTCTATTTGTTTTAGGTTTCAGATTATCTTGAAGTAATTAAAGAACCAATGGATTTATCAACAGTAATAACTAAAATTGATAAACATAATTATCTGACCGCTAAAGATTTCTTGCAAGATATTGACCTCATCTGTAGCAATGCTTTAGAGTACAATCCAGATAAGGATCCAGGAGGTAAGGATACTCAGTGTAAAATTCACTTTGAAATTAATGAAAGAACAGTTTACAGTGTAAATATTAACTCACACCTATCATTTAGATAAATAAATTCGCTTTAGAATCTAATATTGTGTTTACACCCTTTAAGAGACTTATTATAAGGATAATAGACTTAAAGAATTTTGTATTTCTGGGTAGTATGTTTTGGGGTTTTTTTTTTTTTTTAAATACTATGTTTTGGTTTACTTCCTGTATTTACTTTTTGTTTTTTATAATTATGTTCTGATTTTGCTTAGATTGATGGGGAACCAAGCAGACAAGAATTATTTTATTTTACTGTAAAAAAATTTGCCCGAATTTTTCTAGTATTATGAAAAGTGTATGCATATTGTTATCTTCAAAAGGGATGTTCAGATTACCAGATATAAGCACACAAAATTGGTAAAAAAATGAAAAATAAAAAGATTAAGTATTAACTGTTCTTTCAGTAAACCAATAGAAATTAGTAGTACAATTATCTTAGCTTTCTGCAAACAAGAAATTAACTTTTATTTTTATACTCAGCTTCAGCAGTGCTGATGGACACAGATTTTTGAATTTGTGAGAATCCAGAATAGAGTAACTTTATATCAAAATGCTTTTATGTAGAATGTTATCTGTTCTATACATTTTAAGTATTCTTACATAATTTTATTGTTTTACTCCTTATTCCACTCCATACACAGGTCTGTTGTCCTAACTCTTCATATTTCCCTCCAGGAACATATGTATAGTAAAAATGATTTATTATAAACAAGAAATGTTTGCTATGGGGAACCCTATAAGATTGCACTTAAGTGACCTTGGTGATAGCACAAGGATATAACACTGCAATGCTTTTTTTTTTTTTTTTTAAGGGCAAGGTCTACAGGGTGTTCAAGGTCTCACTACTATATCAGACTGGTAGTGATCTGCCTTTTTACAGCCTCCCAAGAGCTGGGATTACAGGTGTATGCCACCACGCCCAGTCTCAGTTGCTGTCTCAGAGCACCCTGGGTGCAGGAACGGCCCGGCAGGCCTTGGGATTGAACCCCAGCCCCTGCGCCTGCTTGCAAGCACTTTATTCCGCTGAGCTATTTAGCTGGCCCACTGCAGTGCTATTAAGATGTGAAATAATTTTGAGATTAGGTAACATAAGCACTTATAACACCAATTCCATTCTCTTTTACTGTAGCAACCAGGTTCATGTAAGACAGTTTTCCCCTGGAGGGGAGGTGTTACATTTATTGTTGTCCCAGTTATTCCTCTCTCATTGCTGGTACAAAATGCCGGACACCCAAAATTAAGGAAGGAAAGTTTTATTTAGCTTACAGTTAGTGGAGGTTTCGGTCCATATTTGGCTGGCTCTAAGGCAGAGAGTCACATGGAAGAGGACAGCCATTCATGATGGGTGGAAAACAGCAAGGAGCACAGGGAGGAACAGCAGCTTCAGCAGCTAGCAAGCTTTTCTCCCCTCCTTACATTTGTAGGCAGATCATCTGCCACAGGGTGGGGGTAGCACTCACATCCATAATCCCCAGTATTGGATCGAGAATTAATCATAGACTATAGAAGTCTGCCCCATGACTACATGAGGCTTTGGGAGGACAACTAGACACAAACCATAACAGTTGGGCACTTTATTATTATTACACTGTAATATATAATGAAATAATACGGCTCACCATAATGCAGATGGTGTGAGGCCTGATCTTGTTTTCCTATAACTAAATGGTCCCTCATTTTGGGGTGATGGGAGACAGTGGCACCTCAAGTGTGTTATGTCTAGTGTACTCCACTTCATTTTGGTTGCTATCACTGCAGAAAACTGTGCCTCACAGAATTACAATTTTTGAAATGGGATTAGACTCTCAGAATATTCCACCTGGACTTTAATCCTGAACGTTTGGAGATTTGAAGTTTATCTATGACATTTTTTTTCTTTTTTTGTATTGGGATTTGAACTCAGGACATTGGGCTTGCCAGGCAGGCTCTGTACCACTGAACTATATCCCTGACCCTCCAACATACTTTTAAGACCAACATCATTTTCAGTCTCAAGCAGTTGATTTTTTTCCTAAGACAGACTCAATTCACCTGGCTTCACAAATGGCTTGAACATCTACTCCTCTCCAGCTTAGGAGTCTTCTGTGGTTGGAAAATAATACTCAGCCTTTTAAAAACTGACATAGGTGATTATGAACCAACTGGGACAAAGAATGCCCTGACTAAATCTCTTTTAAGATTTCCCCTAATGTTTGAAACCTATTAAAAATTTCAGTGTTCATTCATTGTCTCCATTATTCCAGTTTGATTTTGAATGCAGCCACTCTGTCTGCTGAATTGAGCACTGTTGTTGCACTCCCATGTACCAGATTAAATTTGTTAAGCAGGTTGAATATATCATACAGCTAAGCAAATTTTATGACCCATCATGTGTCACGGAAATGTGCTGCCAGTGGTTACTCGTTTTCTAAATGAAAATTCTAGAGAAGTTCTTGTAATTCAAAAACTGTGACCAGTGATGTGCCTTTAGAAAACCATTTCACTTCTGTGTATAAGAGAAGATAGTGTAAATTCTGCCTACATCTCTTGACAGAGCTGCATGAGCAGTTATAAATTAAGAGCATGTATTTTAATCTGATTGATAATTTTAATCATATTCTGCAAAATGTTGAGTTCATTGACATTGTCTGGCTAGCCAGCATTTCTCTATGGGTGACACAGTGTGTTGACACACTATCAGAATCTTACCTGTTTGACCAGAGTGAGGAAACCAGAAGACAGTCAAGTCATGGCAGGTGCTCTGTCCATAGACATAGCAACATAAAGTTGCCATTTCAGTTTTTCTGATGTTGTCATCCTAAGATTTGACTAGCCCTGCAGCTGTTGTGTTGGTTGGTAACAGAAGGGCATCATAATGTACCCTCACACATATCCTCCTGAAAAATGAAATGCACAAAAACATTGTAGCCTTGATGTCAGCATCAGTAGATTCATCAGCCCGGATGGGTACCACAATGACTCATTAATCCTCTGATAATTGTGGCTCAGGATCCTTCATTTCATCATTTTATGTAGCATGCTAGCTGAAAGAGGAGTCAGTGTCACCTTTTGAACCATATCCTCTCCTCAAAGTTCATGACAGATACCTTTTTTATTTTTTTAAATTTAAGATAAGGTCTCATTAGGTAAGCCACAGTGGCTTTGAACTGACTTTGTAGCCTAGGCTGATATCATACTCACAGTGATCTTCCTGCCTCAGCTTCCTGAGTACTAGGATTATAGGCATGTACCATTATGTCTGGCTGATGACAGATATCTTTTTAGCAGGACCAACTCTTCCGTAAAAGGCTTCTTAGCTTTGGCAGTGCAGCCAGCCACTAAGGATGATGCTCTTAGTACAGACACATTTGAGGAAGTGGTAGCTTTCAGTATTTGCTCCTGTTCTTAGTTTTCATGGGGTTTGTTTGTTTGTATTTATCTTTAAAAGCTTGTGTTTTAACACAGGGTGCTTAATCTCTATGTGAAAAAGCAATTTTGAAAAGTCTCTTGGCTTCATTGAATAGCTGATCACTACATATTATACAAAGGGCTTAGATAATCTGAACCACCTGTTGGCATGAACCTGTAATTTAAATAGGACTCTTACTATTTTCTCTTAAATGCAACTTCTTTTTTGTTGGCAGGTTTAGATCTCTGCTATCTCATATTTGGGCCCTTCTTTCAAATAAGCTTTACGGTGACATTTGCTTTTTACTCTTTTTGGGGTGGGTTAGTTTTTCAGCTTACTATATGACAGTGCAGGTGGAAATGGTACATAAAACAATAGGCAGGTCATGAGCAGACTAAGTGTTGGGTTCTTACTTAAAGCCTGCTATCAGAAGCAGCTATAAAATTGAAGTACTTCAAACTCACTTGCTAAAAGCCTGCCACCAGATATAGCTTAATTGTCACTTGCTGTTTGCTGACAGGGTTTTAATGATTCTGCAAGCAATTGATATTTTTACCATCTCTGCTCCCCAGCACTAACATCACTGCCTCAGCTCCACTTCAGATTATCAGGTATTAGAATCTCTTAACAATTAAATAACCTAGGTCCCTCTCATGTACAATGCATAGTAGGGTTTGTGTTCCAACGAGAATCTCATAATGTCACTGATCTGATAGGAGACAGAGCCCAGTCAGTAATTTGATCACTGGAGAATGACTATAAGTAGAGATGATGCTTCGCCTGGCCTGCTTCCTAACAGACTGTAGACTGGTCTGGCCCATGGGCCAGGGGTTGGGATTCCCTGGCCTAGAAGGTCAGAAAAGTGGAGCAAGGTTAAAGCTGTGATTGCTAAAGAAATGGTATTTATTCATATTTGTGGGGAGAGGATTATGTTTGGTTATATTTATGCTTAAGACATGGTCATGTTTTTGCCCATGTTTAGACACTATTACTGCAAGATTTTGCTTATATTGACTAATGGTTGTCGTATGGTGGTGGTGTCTGATACTGATGTTCTGCGAATTTAAGTTTAACATGAGTACACTGATTTTTAGCAGACAGTGCCAGGCCAACTCCTAGCTGTTAAATTTTTTCCCCCCTCTTTATTTAGAATTCTCTTTCTTTAATATGTAATGCACAAATAAATGTTTATTTTTAAAACATTAACTCACTTTTTAATATTAACTCACAGTTAATATTTGCATTTGTTACCTAAATATATTTATAATATTTGCATTTGCATCTTTTGGGGGATGGTATGTAATGGTTCCCAATGTACAGCATGTGGCCAAATGTTCTGGATTTCTCAGTATTACATGAAATTAGTAATTTCTCACTTGAGTTTTGACCATTTACCAAATCACTTATCTTAATTCCAAGTTAAGAGGCAGAATAAATGCAAATTTTCAAAAGGTTATTTCCCTCTTGTAGTTTGTTTACTTTGCCTATAAGTCTTGTAGAAAAATGTATAAAAATAAGGACAAAGAAAATTATAGTACTATAT